ATAATTCCTAGGTATAATACTCGTGCCGCTAAAAACGCGTCGACTTCGCTCACTGACGTCACGTAATGAGAACGAATCAAATGAATTACATTGGGGATACGTTGAAATCAGTATAAGGACGGTTTTTTTCCACTTTTTTCGTCTAAAATAAATATTAATTACTCATATTAAAAATAATGAAGAAAGTAAGTTCTCTTCACTGGATTATGATTCTTTCTTAATTCTTAAATTAAACAGAAAAATTAAATTAATGTGAACTGTATTAGAGAAGCTTATTACGGCAATTATTGTAATAAATGGACCTAATAAATTAATATTTGATGTGAATAGTTCAATAAAATAAACATATTGTTCTAAAAATCATGACAATGATAATGACACTTTCAATGTTCCCTATAATCTAATCTTACAATTACCTTTAAATTACACCTATAATGGAATTATAGATGTAATTGATTATTTAAAAAAAATCGTTTAATTTTATTTTGCCTTCATTCAATGAACAGTAAATCCATATGTCACGGGTATGACAGAATGAGGACATTTTTTATTTTTTATTTTAAATCAGAGATATTTTAGAACAAATACCATTGGTAGCATGTAGATTACACTGTCAAAAATGATTTATAAAAAAATTTATTATATTTTTTTTATTTTTATATTTTGCCTTCTTGTTCTAATATGTATAAACTTCTTTTCGTAACATGAAATTTAAAACATCTTTAAAAAGGAAAATTTGTATAAGGAAATATCGACTCTGCAATTGGGCTCCGCCCCATAATTGCAAAATCCATATTTCCCTGTAAATATGTACCATTTTAACCTTGTTTTAAGTTTCTTGTTATGAAAAGGTGGCTAGATATATTAAGAAAAGAAAAGACAAAATAGAAGCCCCACCCACCCACCCTATCGCAATTCAGATGATCTCTTTCATTCGTCGTAAGCCGAGGGGCGGAGCTTAACTGCAAACTCCTTATTTCTCTACGAGAAATAAAAAACATTTTTTTTTAGTATCGTGAGGGTCAAGAATACTAGGTATATTAAGAAAAAATTAAAGCCAAAGATTAAGGCCCACCCATACTTGCCCAGATCTAAATATGTAGTAATGAAGGTTTTTATTCGTTGCCAGACATAGGGGCGGAGCCTAATCGCAAAATCCATACTTCCCTACAAAAATTTACCATTTGAAACGTGTTTAAGTGTGTAATATATATATGGAAATATATATCTCTTTTTAAGAAGTAATGCATATGCACGAGGTCCAGCTGAATATATGGTAATTGCTCGGGAGATGTCTTCAACCGTCCATATTGGTTTTGGGGATTTTGCAATTTTTTTATTTGTTTGGGCGTGAACAATGTCCTTAAAGCTAGTACTTTTATCAAGATAAAACTGATTTTGGCAGATGCCATATTTTCTAAGAAAATAGAGGGTCGGTGGGCGGGGCTAGTCCTTGCTTGCTTATTAAATAACCAACAAAAATAAGAATATTTTTCAAAAATTAAAAAAAAATTGGTCGAAAGTTGATTCAACAGAAATTTCTTCGCTCCAGAAGTAGAATGATACATAAAAAATAAACACCCAATGAGATTTAGCAATTAAAATAGTGGCAAAATCAGTCTAATCTTAGCAAGTACTAGCCCCGCCCACCCGCCCCCTTTTTTCTCAGAGGGTATGTCATCTGCCAAAATCAGTCTTTTCTTACTGTCCATTCGCCCTCTATTTTGACTTTGGCAAATGATATACCTTCCAAGAAAACAGAGGGCGGGTGGGCGGGGCTAGGTCTGTTAAGATTCTTAGCAGGCGGCAGCCCTCTTCATCCGCCCTCTATTTTGATTTTGGCAAATGATATACCTTCCAAGAAAATAGAGGGCGGGTGGGTGGGGCTAATGCCTTCTAAGATTCTTAACACATACTAGCCCCACCCACCCACCCTCTATTTTCTTGGAAAGTATGTCATCTGCCAAAATCAGTCTTTTCTTACTGTCCATTCGCCCTCTATTTTGACTTTGGCAAATGATATACCTTCCAAGAAAACAGAGGGCGGGTGGGCGGGGCTAGTATCTGTTAAGATTTTTAGCAGACGGTAGCCCTTTTCATCTGCCCTCTATTTTGATTTTGGCAAATATTATACCTTCCAAGAAAATAGAGGGCGGGTGGGTGGGGCCAACGCCTCCTAAGATTCTTAGCAATTACAATTACCTATAAATTACACCTATAATGGAATTATAGATGTAATTGATTATTTAAAAAAATCGTCTAATTTTATTTTGCCTTCATTCAATGAACAGTAAATCCATATGTCACGGGTATGACAGAATGAGGACATTTTTTATTTTTTATTTTAAATCAGAGATATTTTAGAACAAATACCATTGGTAGCATGTAGATTACACTGTCAAAAATGATTTATAAAAAAATTGACAAGATACAATAATCGGTAAGAGACTAAGAAAACAATATATGGCGTCACGGGCGTGATTCGTAAAAAATTGAGTTTAATGTTTTAAAGAAAAACCATTTTGCTGTTCCTTCAATTCACAAACTAACGAAGAATAGGTAATAGGTTTTTGTCATAAATTACTTGGAATAACCCATACAATTTTACACTGCATCATTTAAAATAGTGTCACGGGTGTGACGTAAATTAGCAACGGGCGTGACATACATACCTTGAATATTAAAAATTATAGTAAAACTGGCATAATAAAATAAAATTATATCACAAGAAGAACGATTTTATTAACGTTTTAATATTTTAACATTTTTGACCTGAGAACGGTTACCTTTTGGGTATTATTCACACAGTTGTATCTATAAACAAACAGTTTGCCTTTTGTTTCTTGATCCACGTATTTCAAATTTTGAGTATTGGAACTAAGATGAACACTCCTGAAGCACAAGAAGCGTGCAGAAGCGATGTAGACATTATTCAGGTATTTTGTCATTTTGTGGTAACTGCTAAAAATGGAAATTACGTATATGTAAAGATCCCTACATATACGGAATTGATTGCAACCAAATTACTAGATTTACATGGCCTACCTTTGTCTATAAACACCCTGAACGGTTTATACTATTTATTTGTCAACAGTGTAAAGTTTGTCTAGAATTATAAGAATTTTATGGACTCCCAAAGTTAATTCAATTTTACAGTCCTGTTGTCAGTTTTATTGTTTAGCTGAAGAGCGGGGCGAACTCAGGTACAGAAAAGATCGGCTTTCTCCTGACAGGCTCTTTACCTGTACAATAGAATTGACGCCTGAGCTGTGAAACAAATTAACGTTGGGAGTCCATAAAATTCTTATAATTCTGGACAAACTTTACAAGAGGCAAAGATAGAGGTCAATTTTCCTTTGTATAATTTTGATTAGAAAAATAGTAAGTATATGCTTCCCTAATTTTTGTTTCATCGAATGATAAGACGCATATTTTTTTCTAAGTTGGTCATCTCAGTCTGTTTAATAATGTTAATTACTTGTTTTAGAATACTCGGCATGATTTTAATTTTCTTTGTCCACGATCTAAGTGTCGAGACACTTGGAAATAGATATCTCTTTTTAAGAAGTAATGCATATGCACGAGGTCCAGCTGAATGAATATATGGTAATTGCTCGGAAGATGTCTTCAACCGTCCATATTGGTTTTGGGGATTTTGCAATTTTTTTATTTGTTTGGGCGTGAACAATGTCCTTAAAGCTTGACTTTCTTGCTTCAATTTCTTATTTTCTTTTTCAAGAAAAATAATTTTTTGTTCTAAAGTGTCTGTTTCAGTGTTTGTACTGTAGAAACAAAACAATATGCATATCTACTCTGTACAAAAATCATATCCGTTTATCCCTAAGAACAAAAGAAAAAGGCAAAATCTTTCAAAATAATAAGAATATACCCCGTAGATTTAGAAGTTGAAGGTATATCTTCAAAAGTCGCAGAAATCTCTACAGGTTTTTTGTTTCTATAAAGTAAAGGTAATACACTAAATCTCTGAAATCACAGCATTGTTAATAACAATTAAATCCCAATTGTTCTCCATCATTCGTAACCATTATTGTTATTTTTCCAAAAAATGGTACATAGGGCGTAAATAACTACAGCGATGAACAAAATTGTGAATTACAAAAAAATACGGCATCATAATGTACAACTAAAAAAAATACTTCACAATCTTTATAAATGGTGAAAAAGAAGCACAATCTTTGTGTAAGCATTTCATTATAATTTCCAGGTTTCAAATTTTGATGCGCCCTGCATATGCATGTCGTGTATCCGTAGGATGACTATAATAAGGTTTATTTTTATTTCATTTTTACGGTGATTGTACCTAATACAGATGATAAATCTATAATATATATAATCAATGTCGACAATGTCGATAGATTTATTTTATGCCTCATGAGATTTCCAAGATTGTGTATCTCGAGTGATTCATTATTAACGGAGATAAAACATTTTTTTGGTCTGATAACCTGACGCTTGTTTTCTATTCATCATATTAATAAGAAAAGCCAAGGTTTATGTTGTATTTTGCAAAAGGATGAGTGCAACACCAAACCTTTTTTTTTCATGTAGCCCCTTATTTTTAACACGTCACGATAATAGAATTTGGATTGAAATACTTTCCAGCTTTATTGTTTTATTTTGCTTTGATTATTATTATTTGTAACGATTTTATGTTCGTAGTCACTTCATATTTCGTGATATAGAAAACAAAGCTATCCCAATCTCCGAATGTTACAAAAATGTGAAACTATCGGTATGTCAGAATCTTTCAAGTATCATATATCTATGTACCTATAGTGTACAAACTTTAGGATGACTGTAGATACATGAAAAAATGTTATTCATTGATTGGCTAATTGAAGATAAAGTTGCCATTAATTGTTAATTAAAATCTATATTTTGTTTCGTAAATTTATATATAATTAAAGTTCTGATTCTAACTAATATCGGCCATACGATACAACTAAACAGAGTGATGAAAATGTCTATTTTTATTACAGGTCTGTGTTATGCCGAATTTGGTGCCCGAACACCTAGAGCCGGTTCTGCCTACATTTACAGTTACGTATGTGTTGGTGAATTCATAGCATTCGTAATAGGATGGAACCTAGTCCTAGAATATGTCATAGGTAACCCACGCAAATACGCAAAAAACACTATTTCGTTTGCTTGTTTTTAGGATCTGCAAGCGTAGCAAGAGGTTTAAGCCTTTATTTAGACACCCTAATCAACGATACTCTTAAAGATTGTTTCATTGACATAGCTCCGCTAGGAAATGTTTCCTTTATGTCGGCGTATTTTGACTTCTTTGCATTTGGTATTTCCTTAATCTTGGCTGTTGCTTTAGCTTTCGGCTTAAAAGAAAGCAGCTGGGCTAACAATATCTTCACTCTAGTAAACTTGGCAGTAGTTTTGTTCGTTGTGATCGCTGGTGCTACTAAAGGTGAGTGTCGTGGAGAAACTTACGTAGTAGTAACAGAATAATATTTAGCGTCGACTGAAAACTGGAATCTTGTAATAAACGCAACAAACTCAACAGACGAAAATAAGGGCACTGGAGGCTTTTTCCCTTTTGGTGTTGAAGGGATGATTAAAGGTGCCGCAACGTGCTTTTATGGTTTTGTCGGCTTCGACTGTATTGCAACCACGGGTGAAGAAGTAAAGAATCCGAAGAAAGCAATACCGTTTGCGATCATCCTGTCATTATTCATAATTTTTTTAGCTTACTTTGGCACATCGACGGTTGTAACTCTCATGGTGCCGTATTATGACCAAGTACGTATTTGTTTAACTTAGGAAGTAGTATATTGGGATGATCTGAATTGTAGGACCCAAATGCTCCGCTTCCTCACGCTTTTGAAAGCGTAGGCTTGGAATGGGCAAAATGGGTGGTAGCGATTGGTGGTATTTTTGGTTTGTGTGCCAGGTGAATTATACGTGAGTTTTATCTCGTTAGTAATGTTATCGTTTCAGTCTTTTTGGTGCAATGTTTCCACTGCCGAGAATAATATACGCAATGGCTTCTGACAGCATAATCTTTCGTTTCCTTGGACAAGTAAGTTCGAGGTTTAAAACGCCCGTAGTGGGCACACTTCTGGCTGGACTTTTAACGGGCTTAATGGCGGCACTTTTTGAACTTAAGCAGCTGGTTAATATGATGTCTATTGGAACATTGTTGGCCTATACTATAGTAGCAGCCAGCGTGCTTTTATTACGGTAAGAACACTCGATGTTGATATTTTGAATCTAAATTTTTGTATTGTCCTGTTTGTGCTATACGTCTCTAAGTGTTGTGCATTGTCCATTAGCTACGAAGTCGATAAAGGCGTCGTATACGAACCTCTTTTAAAGTCCTTTTCGGACTCGGAGGATTATGATACGTAAGTAAGTCGTTCACTAAAGTAATCCAGTTAGAACAGACACATATTTCTCGACGTTTTTGTTACAGATATACCGAAAGCAGAGCATTGGATATCGGAGAAACGAGTGACGAGATTGAGTTGATCAGTGACGAGTTCACTTCTTCGAATATTTTCAAGCAAATCTTCAATTGCGGACGTCAGCAGTACCCTTCAGAAGTTTCCGAAAGGATCGTCAAGGTGGAAGTGTGTCTCTACTGTATTTTATGCGTTCTTATAGGCTTGTGTGCCATGTATTTGAATAGCCAGATCAGAGATGGTGAAATTTGGGCAATAGTATTGACAGCCGTGGTTGTTGCATTGGCGGTTTTGGTTGTCATGTCGATGACTACGCAGCCCAAATCGAGAAAGGAGCTGTCTTTTAAAGTGAGTACCAATACAAACCGTTTCTTCAAATTGTAACGAAATGTCATTTGAAATTTTTGTTTCAAACGTGTTGATCATGTTCCGTCTGTTTTTATCTTTTCTCCCGCGACTTTAGGTCTTATTTCGCTGTTTTATAGGGTTTAATATGGTTTTGTTTCTGACGTTTTTATGGGACTACTGTATCGTAAATCATCGGATTTTTTTAACTTGATTCGCGATTTTTATGGTGTACGATTCTGCGCATGTTGTTTGCAATGTCTGACAAGCGCAATGATATTTGCAATTTGCGAATATGCGAATTTTGTTCTTACGTTCGGGGATGGATGGTCGAGTTTGATTATCTGTTTGAATGGTACTATATGCAGATTAGGACATGCGTGTTAAGTAATTAAGATCTGCAAATTGTCGAATTTTGTTATGTTTTGGGGATTTGTTATTCGCCTTTTTGTTACGATTTTCTCGTGAACGAATTTAGTAATGGCTCGTCACAACTCGATTTATGCTTAAACTAATTCATAATGAAATTGATTGTGTGACGTAAATTTTAAGCTTATTTTAACGTTAAATAATTGAGTTTGAGTAACTTATAACATGAATTGTAGTCCGTATTGGGACAAAATAATTTTCTATTCAAGTGTTTCACTTCATTTCCTGGCAATACAAACACAGCTAGACTGGAAAAACTGAGTTAATTAATTTTATTTCATATTTTTTAATGGTGGAGCGACATCATTTAATGACTTCATATGGAACGCATTACCCGTAAGTGCTAACATTTAAAAAAAATATTATCTTGATGGGTAACCCGAAAGTAGAATACCTTGTATAATTGAAAATATGTAATTGTAAACTGTAACCTTAAATGATTTCTTTAGACTGCGCATTGATTAAATACATATAGATAGACCCATGCTATTGTTTGGAGCGAACAGGCCAACGGCCGGCGAACAAGAGATGGCGCACCAACAGTCGGCCGTCAAACGCCGGCGAAAAGCTTGGACACCAATCGCGCGCGTAGATAACCCAAATCGCAGCAACAATACATTTAATAAAGCTACCACTCGACAGAGGGCGACGAAAACAATGTGTAAAAATCTCATAGTAACCATTTATATAATTTGCAACGTTGCCAGATGAGCCTAGCACAACTTTGCCGTTATTTCTAGTCGATTAGATTTTATTTCGTTTAAAAGTTTCTGGTGAATAAATGGAATTATTATAATGAATAAACAATACAAACAAATTATTACTTGTTATTTTAAATACTTGTTAGTGTTGATGAAAACATAAATGGTAATTAAAGTTATTCTAAATACGGTCAGGTCCGGTAGTTCAAATTTTACAGTACGAGTGATATGTTTCAGGACGAGTAGGTAGCCGAGTCTTTAATTTCGAAACGAGTACTGCGAAAAGAGTTACCGGACGTATGTTGTTATGTATTTTATTTCATACTGTCAACATACTTTTTTATTCGATAATATTATTATTATTTTGAAAAAAAATCCAAATCGAGTCACTTTTTCTGACATCGTTAGCAACCGCTCTTTGGTAAATGTTGTAATTTGTTTATTCGTGCAAATCAGCATCATATGTTTAAACACATAGTACTTATAACACTTTACAGGACTTATTGTTTTGTATAATCCGACTCGATGGACGAATGTTTTGTGCAATCCGTCTCGAAGGACCAATGTTTGTGCAACTCGGCTCGTCCTACCAGTATTTTTTGTAATCTGGTTGATACGACAATGTGATACCGAATTGTACTTTGATATTGATTTAAGGACCTTTGTTTTCTTGCGTGCGAGATAATAGACAGCGTTCGGTTTCGATGTTTAATACAGGACGGGTACAGAAGTACTAAATTTACATTTGTATTTACAATAACAGGTAAAGCAAAAGAGACCCAAAAGGGTCAGTGGCCGCTTCCGGAAATGGAAGACTTGTCCTTTTTGGCCACGGAGGTAGAAGAGTGTCTCTTCTACCTCCGTGTTTTTGGCTCAATTTTATCGGACTTGTCCGTTTTTTTGATTTTACCGGAATAGTTCGATCCAGTAAAACGTCAAACTTGACATAGTATGAAGTAAAATAAATAAATTTTATGATGTAAATACAATTAAGTGTATCGATAATAATTCGCTACTGAAAATTTATTGAAATATAATTTGTGTTAAAAAAAGATTTTTGTGGTTTTATGGTTTATTAAATGTAATTAAAATAAATAATATCAAGAACTTGTATTATATATCAAAAACATTCATTGTAAATAAGAAAATTATGTAAATAAACCATAAAACCATACAAAATTTTCCTGCGACCTCTATTCAAAATCCCAGTTTACCAATAGGAATTAAGGCACAAAGATGTTTCACTGAATTTATTACCGATTTTTCAAGAAAAGTATGCTTATAAGCCTATAAGCGTCTAATGGGTTAAAACAACAAATAATAATCACAATTTATTTGTTTTATGTGTTCATTACAATAATCCCATTTATTTACCAGAAACTTCTAAATGAAATAATATCTGGTTGACGAGAAATATCCGCAAATTTGTGTTAGGCTCATCTGGCAACGTTTTCGGTAGGTAGGTATCAATGGAATAATGCGATTAGGTATACTGACCGTTTTAAGGAGTGCTCGTCCAATAGTGCGTAAACTAAAAGATTTGGTAATTTTCTTGGAAGAGTTTGTTTCTTCAATGAAAATTTATGGTTTTTAATTCTTCGGCCGCTTGAAAGTCTCGCCATGTGAAAATAGATTATTTGATAACCTGTTTCGTAATAATTGTAAATACGAACAAAAGCATATTTGCATATTCTAAACAACTGGCCATATCGATTCCAAACTTGTACAGATATGTTTTTTAATGTTTCTGTTTTCAATGAAATAAATTTTATTTGCAAAATACTTAATGTCTAACGACATATCACGCATACATACTACCCCATTTACTATATTTTCAATCTGTGCATTTTTCGCTTCATTCGTAGGAGCCAAGTAAGAAGTATCAGTGAGACCGGCGGTCTTTCAATAGCTCGTAAATGAAAAGATTTAGTAAAGTTTCCTAGAACAGTCTGTCTCTTCATAAAAAAATTTAGACATTTTTACTATGAAATATAGGTACAATACGCTATATTCCACTGTTTGTTTTCTTTGAGATACGACTAGTTCTTGTGCCGAAGTGAAACACCAAAAAGTCTAAAGTTCGGAAATCAGAGTGAATTTTAAAACACATAAAACGACTTCTTTATTTATTTAAATATTGTCCTGTAACGTCCTGCGACGTGGAATGGAGTTTCTTAATGTACAAAAGTATGTTAGATAATAACCGAAAAATTTTCTTGATTAAAACTAAAGGAAACACAATTATTACTTGGAATAAAAATAAAGAATATCAAGAACTTGTGCTATGTATTAAAAATATTTAATTTCAAATAAGTAAATTATGTTAATAAACCATAAAACCACAAAAATCTTTTTTTAACACAAATTATATTTCAATAAATTTTCAGTAGCGAATTATCGATATACTCAATTGTATTTACATCATAATAGTTATTTATTATACAAGCGGTTAAAGTGAATGTTTAATGAGCGGCCAGTTTAAGGCGAGAGCGGCGTATGCCGCGAGCGCCTTAAGACCACGAGTTACACATTCATTTTAACCGCGAGTGTAATACAAACTTTTATTCAATTTTGACAACCCCAAGTCCCAAATTGTGAAAAAATTGGTGATTCAAAGTTCACATTCGAGAAACGTCAGAATTGACAGCGACCAAATAAAAGTTTTATATGCGTAGAATTTAGGTTACAATATCAGGTGTGTGTGTGTGTAGTATGTGACTCTGGCGACGGTGTTTGTTTATTTTAAACAAACTAAAATTATCGAAAAATTGCAAAATCATGCAAGATTCCAACGGCAAAACTTGCTCCCAAAAAAGAGCAAATCACAAAGTGTATCAAAAGTTCCTTAGATGGAAAGAGCAGCAAGGCATTGGAGAAATTACAGAAATGGTAACCATGGTTTTAAAACAGCAAAATAAAAATTTTATTTCGCTAGCGGTTTAAAAATTTTATGGTGCTACCGGATAAACCAAAGCTTTAGTGGCCTACTGACGGCAAAATAAACGTTTGTTTACATGTCAAAATTGAATAAAATTTATTTATTTTACTTTATACTATGTCAAGTTTGACGTTTTACTGGATCGAACGATTCCGGTAAAATAAAAAAAACGGACAAGTCCGATAAAATTGAGCCAAAAAGGACAAGTGTTCCATTTCCGGAAGCGGCCACTGACCCTTTTGGGTCTCTTTTGCTTTACCTGTTATTGTAAATACAAATGTAAATTTAGTACTTCTGTAACCGTCCTGTATTAAACATCGAAACCGAACGCTGTCTATTATCTCGCACGCAAGAAAACAAAGGTCGTTGGAGCAATATCAAAGTACAATTCGGTATCACATTGTCGTATCAACCAGATTACAAAAAATACCGGTAGGACGAGCCGAGTTGCACAAACATTGGTCCTTCGAGACGGATTGCACAAAACATTCGTCCATCGAGTCGGATTATACAAAACAATAAGTCCTGTAAAGTGTTATAAGTACTATGTGTTTAAACATATGATGCTGATTTGCACGAATAAACAAATTAAAACATTTACCAAAGAGCGGTTGCTAACGATGTCAGAAAAAGTGACTCGATTTGGATTTTTTCTCAAAATAATAATAATATTATCGAATAAAAAAGTATGTTGACAGTATGAAATAAAATACATAACAACATACGTCCGGTAACTCTTTTCGCAGTACTCGTTTCGAAATTAAAGACTCGGCTACCTACTCGTCCTGAAACATATCACTCGTACTGTAAAATTTGAACTACCGGACCGGACCGTATTTAGAATAACTTTAATTACCATTTATGTTTTCATCAACACTAACAAGTATTTAAAATAACAAGTAATAATTTGTTTGTATTGTTTATTCATTATAATAATTCCATTTATTCACCAGAAACTTTTAAACGAAATAAAATCTAATCGACTAGAAATAACGGCAAAGTTGTGCTAGGCTCATCTGGCAACGTTGCAAATTATATAAATGGTTACTATGAGATTTTTACACATTGTTTTCGTCGCCCTCTGTCGAGTGGTAGCTTTATTAAATGTATTGTTGCTGCGATTTGGGTTATCTACGCGCGCGATTGGTGTCCAAGCTTTTCGCCGGCGTTTGACGGCCGACTGTTGGTGCGCCATCTCTTGTTCGCCGGCCGTTGGCCTGTTTGCTCCAAACAATAGCATGGGTCTATCTATATGTATTTAATCAATGGACTGCGTAAAAATTTTTGTACCAGTCCACATGAAAACCCGGTATTGATAAACTAAACATCATAAATAATCAATTATTTTTAGGTTCCTTTGGTACCTCTTGTTCCGGCCCTCAGTATCCTGATCAACATCTACTTGATGTTAATGCTTGACAACAACACGTGGATACGTTTCGGTGTATGGATGGCTGTAGGTGAGTAAAGAAACTTTTCGTTTCTCTCTTTTTCCTTACAAAATGCACGCTGTAAATAATACGCATGGGTATTCAGGCCTCCCCATTTACTATTTTTCTGTAAAAACCCATTCCGATGCACGAAACGAGAGCATATGCAGTCACCCTTCCATCTCAGCCGGCGAAAAAATCAACGGCTATGCTAATCACGGCTACCTCGAGGACGAAATAATTTCAACGAAAACGAAAAAAGGCCCTGCACCACCTCCCCCCACTCTTAAGAATATCGAAGCAACTATTGCCGATTTGGACGAGATGCTAGAAAACGAAGAAGCCAACATAACCACAGATCGAAAATATTCCGCCGACTCTATGTCCCTTGCTTCGAATGTTTTACGTGAAGAAAATGTCCAAGCTGATGTTCATTGTTCCGATGTTCCCCTTACACCTGCCAAAGACGAGCCTCCTTTGTGTCAGTCTAGTGATGTAACTTGTTCCGACCCTGTGTCCCATAATAGTGACGTTACTAATGCGCACGTCGCCGATACTACGGATTCCGCTGTACTGGAATCGGAAGATACGGTTCAAAATGACGACGCAGAGCCTGCTGCTGTTGTTGTAGGTATACCGTTAATACCAGAAGAACCTGAAGAACCTGAAGAACAAGGCCCTGTCGTTAAAATAGCACTGATGCCAGAAGATGCACACGTTGAAGAAGAACAAGAAGAACCACCTACGGAAGAGCAAAGTCTCATAGTAAATACAAACGAAACAATTTCCCAGGAGAGTCAACCAGTCCCTGTTGAAAATGAAACAACTACAGAGGAAAACGAGAAGATAATTGAAGAAAGCGAACCCAAAAATCCAGTGATTCCACCCCCTCCTCCACTTACAGAAGAAATGGAAACATTTAATGACACACCAAGACCACACTTTGACAAGAATGTTTTCAGCGGTGTTAAATTAAGATCGATTCATGACAGGAAACCTGAAACGCCACCTATCGATTATTCTCGACAAAATTCGACCGTCGGTCCAGCGGACACTAATTTAAAATTTGGAACACAAGAATATAAGGAGTTTATAGAACAGCTAGACCAAAAATTACAACAGGGTTATATACCAGCACACGTGGCTGTTGAATTAAAGAAAAAACCAGTTTTGAAGAACACTACTTCGCATATTGCTAATGAAGATGTTGTCAATGATAGTATCGATCGGGATGATGCAAAAAAGAAACTTGCTCTATTTTTGGAACGGACGAATAGTTTACCGGCTTTTACTGTAAGAAATGGGCCAAATTCGGATCGAAAATATATCGGCAAGAAAATAAATGAAGTCGAATCAGATTTATCGGGTTACAAAGAACAGCACAGGCAAAATATGGAAAATATTTTTAGAAGTGTTAGGTTACGAAAGGAGGATAGTTTTAAAAATACGTCAAGAAGCGATGATTTAACTAATGCGTCACCAGGCCCTCATGAAAAGAAAGCAAAGGAGAATGAGGATATTGACCGTTCAGAACATCGGAAAAATATGGATGGTATTTTTCAGAGTATTAGACTAATGAAAGTTGATAGTTTTAAAAACGATGAATCTCACTGATGCAGACAAGACAGTTCGTTGATATTTGACGATATGATATTATAGAAATGACGAAGGACGAAGGACTGATGATGGAGATTACACGCTTTATGTTCTATCCTTTTTTGTTGCTTTTTACCCCTAATTCTTTTCTCACTGTATGCTTCCTAACTCTGCATGATAACCTTTCCTCAACTAATAGTTAAACATTATAAACGATATTAAAGTTTGTGGAACTATCATGGAGTTCTTTACAGGTTTTTCAATTTATGGACTTTATGGTCTTCCAAATAGTGTAAGAACGTACAGAAATTATGAAAGATTAGAATAAATGCCTTAATTTTATCATAATTAAATTATAATTATATATTTTATATTGTAAAATTTAATTTAATAAAATAATTGTACATATGACAATACGTTTAATTAGTGTGGCGCTTCGAGTGACTCCAATACTTGGCGATAATATTCAGAATGAAAATACGGTGAAAATATTTTGTTACGGATCAATTTCCAGTATGTTTCGCGATTTGTTTTCCATTTGTTGATAATCTCGTCGACTGATGATTTAGGTACTTCAAAACTTGTCTCACTACTGTTGCTGTTGTCTGCGCGTGTTTCCATTGATAGTTGAAAAGAAAGCTTGTCGCAGGTGTTGCTTTGAAAATCAGAAACATAAGTAACAAGTTGTTTAATTCCTTCAAATAAGACTTTAAATTTTTCTCCCCCATCATTCATTTCCAGGAACTTCGTCATTGACGCAACGATCTCTGGATCGTGCAACAAATTATGAAACCCGCATAAGATTCGATAAGTAACATAACAAATCTGCGGCTCTGGAACAACACTGTCTTTATATTTTTTCAAATAAATGTCGCGTGGTTTACACGTAAATCTATCAACAAAAGCTCGATAGATTTTGGTAAAAAATTCCACAGTATGTTTTTTGGTTAACTTGTTCATATAATTTGCAACTTTAACGTGTTTCATACCCATCAATCGATTTATTTTTTTTTCGACGAGACTGTCTTTCCAGAGTAGGATACCTGGAGGACCACGCTCATTGATGATTAAGAATTTTTCTTTTTCGGTCATCCATCGGTGTTTACAACCCTTCTTATTTCCGGGAGTTTTCACAAAACCAGAATTGGTTTTACAATGTCCAGAACGATCACATACCAAGTATTTTTCGTAGCTGTCATAGACTTCGAGCAACGAATTCTCGTCGTTTATATGGATTTTACAAATACAGTCGCTGTCGCATGACTCACAACTTTTCAGGAATATTATTTGGTTGGAAGAAACTTCCAAGCCGACGTTGTTCTTAGTGGACAGTAAGTACGAATCTTGGTAATTTTTCACGACGGCGTCTTTCAAGAAAATCGTCGTAGATCGATCAGCTAAACAATACTCGACTGCTAGGTAATCCGGATGCTCGAATTTATAACTGACAATTACCGACACCCAACCCTCACTGTCGTACTTTTTACCCACAAAAATTAACTCCTTTTCAAATTCAGGATAAGAAGTTATTTTCGTGCCATCAGGAAACTGGAAGGTCGTGACACCTTTCTTGTTACTAATACACTTCATACCGTCTTCTCTTTCGGTAAAAACTTCTTCAGTGTGATAATCCTGCTCACTCAGTACGTAATATAGTTGCTTTTCGTGAATTGTGTCTGCAGAAACGTAAATTTTCTTCCCCTCGAACTGCAGGAGTGTTTTTTTGGCGTAGGGTATGTCCCCAAATTCGTACAAATCCACGAAAGTTGTTTTCACTATTTTTGGTTTTGGAGAGGCATGGCATCTGCTGAGTAAGTACGGACAATTTTCTTCTTCTTCACGCCGAAAGATTTGTGTCATATTATTAGCACAATTCGCACTGTAACATTCACTTTCTTCAGTCAGGTTGATAATATCACCATTCGAGCGCAAAATCGTTGTTGTACCGTCAAAATTTTTGACAACGACGACTCCATTGGAATAAAATATTCGATAAAGTTCTTTATAGTGCTTATATTTATGTTGTTGTTTAATTTCTGCAAACGGTTTGTTTCGTGGCAAGGTCGATAAGAGTATGCCGTTTGGTAAGGTGATCTTGAAGTCATACTTTAGGGGTAATTTCTTCGTTATTTGAGGAATATTGAAAACGCTATGGCCGCCAATTCTACGCTTCTTGCGTAACGGTTTGAAAAGAAACCTTTTCAGACAAGTAACGAATGGGATATGCAATGGAGAGTCGGTTCTTTTCAAACGACGAAGTGACGGTTTCGTCGATATTTTATATATAGGGCGTTGTAAATACACCGCGGCTTTGAACAATTCCAAAAGCCTGTACAGATTTTTATCGTCTAGTTTGACCTTCCTGTCGGAGATTGTCGGTTTATTGAAAAAATTTGGTATGGTGGTGGATATATTGCTTTTACGCAACACTTGAATCCAATAATCGTTATAGTTGGGAACTCTTGACTCTTCTTCTAGTTGTTCGTACACGTACTCGTTCTCCTCGCCTTCGCACGCACCGTAATTGCTCAATTCTTCTCTAGGTGGCAAATACCAAGAAATGTCTTCACTCTCATCAAATTCACTAAAACTTACTATGGTCTCATCCTCGAGTAAACAATGGAAAGCTGACGGTCTGGTTTTGTGGAAAACTAGGGTATTGTCACCCGCAGCTACAGTTATCGAACATTTTGGCTCCTCCATCATGAATCTGGTTGTATCAATGGTCAATTTAACCCCATCGTCGCTGTGAAAAATCGTGGTGAATCCCGTTAGTTGACAAAGTTGTGGGCCCAGATCGTACGCAATAAAAGGAGCGTCATCGCTGCAATAACTCGTCAGAATCTCGCTCTTCGGGTAATCCGACAACTCGGCGAGAACATCATCAAATATTTGCTTTTTCTGTTCACTACCAGTTTCACTGGTTGCACCCAAAAGGTACTGATACTCTTCGTACAATTCTGGAATGTGCATATCAACGAGACCTTCACATACTATCTCCTCTTTGTCTTCATTCAAGTCAGCGTGGTCGGTTAGTTTGTGTTCCACAAGCCACTGCTTCTGCCGGTCTTCATTAACAACGAATCTGCAGAAATCTCTCAAGCAGACAGGAGTTCGTAGATTTTGATCCCATAGTTTCGTGTCTATTCCAAAGTCGTTTATATTATCATGAAAACGCAAAAGAACAGATTTACTAATGTTACAGTAGTCCCGATCCCACGAAGAATAGTCGTTCGCAGCTTTAAAAATCAACTGGAAAAGTACCGTCGACGATAAATCTTCTTTCATATGATAGTTATTGACGAGGTTGTTTTCTTCACTTTTGCAAATTACATCAACTTTAGGTACTGCTCTCTTATATTCTTTTTCTTGATCATGAGTAACCAGATTGTGTGTGAGATAATAATTTTGTGGTTGCTTCGGTTTAAACTCTCTTCTCTTCATTTGATTGAAGATTGCTAAATGAAAATAATCGAAGAGGTCTTTTGTAGTATCACAAAAGCAAGTTTCATCGGTGGACACGGCAACAGTTCGAAAGCTCACTCGTTCGCAATGATCAACTTTAGCCAAAGGTTGCAACAACTTCAAGTACTCTAAGCTCTGGTCATAATATTTTCTTCCAATTTCGTGGTAAGCCCTCATTCCCATTTTCAGATAATCTTCTTCGTGTGTTTGAAACGATTCTACCGGTTTATGGGTACTAAAGTCTTCACTTTCCGAGGATGGAGTCAAGTCTGACAGCGAATAAATCTTCCCAGCCTCCCTCCAACAAATTTCTTCAACTAAAGCGTTAATAATCACAGGAATATTTATCAGTTCTGGTGGGAAACTGTTTAATATCCTGTTATATTTTTCCAAGCATTCAAAATCTACATCGTTGGGTGTTGGTCCAAGATCCGACAAATTTAATTTTCTAATATACGACAAATGCTGGCGTTTAATAAAGTTGATTCGTTTCACAACATACAAGAACTCCTCGAGTGTTTCCTTGGGTGTGGTCGTACCGTCATTTCTGTATTTCATCCAAGCAGTGTTTTCAAGATAGCCCGTGTCTTTAGGAGTATCGAAAAGTCTTTTTAGCGTCATAGTGGAATCATCGGGTTGTGAGTAGTCTGAACATTCGTACGAAACGTCTATGATAGCTGAAACGTATACGGATAGACTTATTAGCTCAGGAAGCAACAAAAAATCCGGGAATTCCGTCAGAACAAAATATTGTAAATGGTTGTCGACATTGTAGTCGAAAATTGTCTCGTTTTCTTCTAGTATTATTTCGGTGTAGTCGTCAATGATCACTTTGGTTTCCTTGTCGCTAACTTTCGATTTCTTCTCGTTTTTAGACCCGGCCTTGCTTTTCTTAGATTTTGACTTGTCGTTTTTAGACTTCTTACTTGATTTATCCTTCTTGCCCTTCTGGCCTTTTTCCCTGGGTTCGCAGTCATGCAGCAGTTCACCTAATCCGTCATGAACCTGTTTTCTCCGCTCCATATTATTCACTTCGTTTCTATAACTCTTGTACATCGATTCTATTATTGTTAATTTCGTCATTATCGCCAAAAATTTCAGCGAGATGGACGTCATTGTTTCAAGCTCCGTGGTGACAAAACGTTGTGCATACTCTTTGATGCGCGTCGGTAGATTTACCTCTGCGTCCGGCTGTGCTAATCTTTCAATTAGACCCAAAACATCTTCATATGTGATGAAGTAAACATCTGAAAGGTATTCGTATTTCTTGCCTGCATCGACGATTTCCTGCAAGAGTAGCTTATCGGAAAATGAGAAAGGATAAGCGAATTCCACCTCGTATAACTTCTTGGAAAATTTTTTTAAGGGAAGGTCGGAAAGTTCTTGAGTAATATTTATGGAAGGGGTTTCAGTTTTGGTAGCGTTACTAGTCCGTGGACTCCGTGGACTTGTTTTTGACATTTTTGAAACGTGTGAAAAAACGTTGATAAGTCAATTTGACGCACGAAAACTACACCTAAAACCACAATTCAGACATAAGAAATCATTAAAATGAAGGCGGGGTAAGTGGGCGGAGTTAATTATATGTTCTTTTGTAAAGTGGCAAGAAACTAATAGAACTTAAGCTGTTAAAAAGAGGCTAATCATATTTTTTTTTGGTTACGCTATTTGCTATAAAAATGCATTTCTTATTTCAGAAAAAAAAAGAACGGGTGGGTGGGCGGGGCTAAGTTTAATTTTTTCTTACATCCACCCCCTCTTCATTCTAGTGACTACTCGTAAT